CTTTTAAATCAAATGGGCATTCACACTTACATGTTCCAACAGACCTCTTTCGTTTTGGTTCATGATCTAAATGATTATTACGTTTTTTATATTTTCCATTACGCTCACATCCATAGAGTATACAAGGCTTGCGTCCATAACCACCACGCTCAGAATCTGTTATAACATTAACCAAACCAAGTTTCTTCCCAACCATACAAACCCAATTACATAATGACTCTCGATTATGGAATACCTACACAATCAATATTAAAAAACTGTAATAAAAAAATTGTACCAAGAGTTTAATTAGTAGACATAAATTTAATATTTACTTTATTCATACTTGGTCAGTAGTGAAGTTTTGCGTATACTTGTATATATTGAAGTTGTCATCATTTTCCTGACATTTAGAACAAATAAAATTAGGTTATGATAAGTTATGAAAATCTAAATTTATTACGGTCATATAAAAAATACAATATAACAATAAAAACTTACTTCTTGTTTGACTAAGAACAACTTTCGAGAATTCAGATGAAGTCATAGTGTCAATAGCTACATCCATTCTCCTTTAACTAAATATCATTATTTAGTGAGAAAACAAGTCGACTCAACAATAATGTTCACAAAGGATAATGCACGCACGAAATTCATAGACTTACTTACACGCAAATTCATGAACTTACATGCACACAAAATCATGGACCATTATGACTAGTGCAGTACATATAAATATCTCCTTGGGTATGCCTCACGTAATGAATGCACGCAAATTCATGGACTTTATGAGGAGTATATACACGCAAATTCATAAACCCATTTACCAATTAAAAATCATCATCTTACATACAATCTGACAAACGCGAAAAGAATTGTATATAAATATGTTCTCACTTAAAAAGGTGAAAATAATCATATTTAAATACAGGCAAATTCAGAGTTAATTGATACGAAGCTTACTAAATAATAAATTGAAAATAATAGTATTAAATTCATTTAGAATTTGTTTGAATTAATAAAAAAATTCATAAAAATTCATAAGGAAAGTTTTCATAAACTTTATGGTAAAAAATTAACTCAATCAGAAACATTTAATGCTTCCTACGTAAAGAATTATAAGTCATGACTACTAATATACTTTTGTACCAATAGATATATTTACTGTTGGATTCAATACATATTCTTGAGAGAAATCAAGTAACGTAAAGAATGAATGCACAACAGAACTAAAATGAATATGCCTCTCTTAATACTGAACTTGTGGAGCCTCTAGATAACTAGATAAGTTAACAGAAAGAGCCGAAGCTTTTATCTGTATCCAATAAGGGATCCACAATTTGTACATTTAGCAAAAGGGTAATGGTACAAATCATGTCTCCAGTGTCTTCCATCTCAACGGAGTTACCCATACCTATAGCAAACAAGAGTCCAAACACTGTTGGAGAAGATAGATGAAGAAATGAAGATGCATAAAAGGTGAAAGATTCCAATTTCAGTGGAACGTGAAAACATAAAAGTGCAAGTTATGCTCCAATATATCTCCCCCTAAAAATCTCTCTAGAACGTTAAAAATAGAAATATGGAGTAAAATACAAATTATAAAACTGAGTAATAGGTTTTCAGACCCTAGTTCTAGGAACTCAAAAAAAAAAGTTTATCCAGCTTCGAAGATTAACTTCCCGCAAAAGATCCAGCTATCTAGAACTATCTTTATATATTACCTCACGCTGGGTGCTGTGAAGTGAATTAAGTGAAACGAGTGAAATGATTTGCCCCATGTAGAAGCAGTATGAAAAAAGAGGAATTAATATAGACACGACTTAAAAGTAATTAAGATACAATAGTCAAGTAGAGTATAAATTCATTTACCATGAAGAAAAGAAAATTATATTGCATCCGTAGAAGAAATCAAAAGCCGTCGGAATAGCTATGAGCAATAAGAATTTGTGGTATAACATTATTTATTTAAATAAAAAGTATATTAAAACCCTAATTATGTAATAAAATTTGTAGTAATAATATAATTACCCAATAAAAATCCAAGCAATTGCATATCCTCTATTTATGAATTATTCCTTTAACTTCTTTTTTTATGGAAACCGATGTGGGATTGTTTATGACTTTTTGAAAAGAAAAAGAAAACCCCTACAAACAATTGATGGTGTACATGTGAATGGACTTTCTAATTTTTTTATGTTTTGGATTTGATACCCTTTTTATTCTAAATTTTTTTATTTTTTTTCATTTATTTATTTTAGTAACAAATAATATGTCATAAAAATATTTAATCAACTCAATTATTTATAACAAATCGGATCAGATTCACTTATATTTATATTTGCTCCATTTAGTTAATAGATTATGGGATTCGAATCTTAATCGAATTATTAGATCGAAACATTAAATTCATCCCCCATTAGTTTCATCGGATTAAAATTTAATCAATTGGCAGACCTACCAGCGATGCAAATACTGGAAGGGAAGCGTGGGACGTAGGCTAGTGAAACATCGTAGAAGGTGATCGAACAACTTACGCTAGAGATTTATTCATTTATGCCAGACAGTGACATAATATATTGTTCACACGACTGAATTAGGGTTTTTTGAGGATTCGAATTGCTTGTGTGGATCAATATTCTAGGTTTGGTTCATCGATTTTTATCTGTAAATTTTAGGTTTTCTCCTTCATTGAGCTTATCTTTTGTTGGTATAGTAATACTGAGCGGATGGGTTAAACCCAATTTTTGTGAACTCTTGACAAACCATTAACTATTGGTTTCAGTAAGTTAAATCTGAATTAAAACTTTCAAATGTCTCAATTAAATTTATTCTTCTATTTATTTTATAGAAAATCAATAATTATATTATTACAATCAATTTATTTTAGAACTTTTTTCCCAATAGACACCATAGTCAACCCATTCAACATTTTCTTGTGATATTATTGACCAAATGTTGAATTTTATTAACTTCAATTTTGAGAAGCTGCTTTTGTTAGATCATGCAACTATAACCGGTATATTAATAATGTTCTATAAGTAATTCATAAATTTGGAAAATAGCATTCTATCATTTTATTGTAATCTAACACTTTAATCATCATTTTGGTCTGACAAACAATCTCTCACAATTTGTAGCTCAGAAAATAACTTTTGCCCATAATATCAGAATTTCTGTCATGCTTCAAAAATTCTTCAAATTTATTATACCAACACTTCAAAGAATTATCATCCGTAGTATTCAATTTTTTTTAAGTCAAACAAACATTCAAAAGTATTTTCATATTTTTAAAATTGTTAAAATATTAATGTAAGTGAATAAAGAGCATCATCAACTATACATAAGAAATAATCAACTCTAAAAGATTTTTCAACTGAATATGTTATCTCATCATCGACATTTTCATAGAAGCGCTTCTTTCTATGAATAATACGTTTTTTCAAGAAATCTAGGTTCAAGTTTCATTTGAGCAACAATTTCTTTTCCAGAATCTTGGCAAATTCTAATCAAGTTTTTTTTATATGTTTCAAAAACGTGAAATAAGTGCTTTCAAGTGATTAATAACAACATCAATAAACATGTCCCCACTTTGCAATATTTTGCTTGTTCCATTAATAGCTAACAATAATTTGTCCTAAATAACCATGAAGAACAAGTACTCAAAATCCAAAATGTCAGAAAATAAATTGTTAGCATTTCTAAATACTTTAAAATCATCATATGTATTCACCAAGTGTTCTAAAATGGCCTTTATTTCCAACGCTTCAAATCTTATTGGTTTAATACTTTCAACTTGACTTTCTAAACATGTTTGTTATAGTTGCGTGAGTGTCACACCTTCTATATCATCTTGGAAAAAATGTATTGCTTTGTAAAAGATGAAAATAATATATTTATACATGCAGTGTATGTTTCCAAAAAAAAAAAAAGATATAACCCTTATAAAAAGAATTTGTAATATCACAGTGCAATATTAAGACTATGACAACTACATGGTGCGTAAAATGCCATTGATTTTACTTGTAATAATCATTTATGTAAACATGCATGCTTCCATTACATATTAATACTATTATCATAATCATGACCTCTACCAAGTTCAAGTGATATATAATAATTCATCAAACAATTTTTGGCCTGAAGTATCATCCACCTTAAGGAATAAAAAAATCGACTACTTGAATTGAACTTACTAAGACATCTACATAATTAAGCTTCAAATACTTTGACAAAATAAAAACTGAACTAAGATAACATTTACTTTTTAATTATATACAAATATGTTTGCTAATTAGACAACTGGATTGGATTGGTTAATTGCATTTGGACTTTATTTTGTTTGCATTTTTTATGAACTATATATGATAATTTTTTTTGTTGGGGATCTTAGGAGATCGCCTATGCCTCCTGTAGTTAGGGTCACTACTGGACTCGAGAGCTTGAAGGGAAAGCTATGAAAGAAGTTGCAGAAAACTGGATAGTGAGGATGGGCTTGATTTGGGTTGGGGGTGGGGGTGGGGGTGTGGTACAGCAAACGTCAAGAATATTTTGGGCCAATTAACCTTTCATAAATGGCATCTTTTTGTTCTACTTCGCCTCAATTGATTTACCTTTAGTCGAAGAAGGCAAATGGTTTTATATTCGACCAGAAAAACAGGTGATTCTTGTAGAAAATACTTATCTTTCATAAGTTCATTACAGTCCATGAATTTATTTAAAACAAAATATCTGTCCTCTATTACTGTGTTTGCTCTCCTGTGTTTGAAGGGGTATTAGCGCTAAAAAACCCACTTTTACACAGGAGAAAAAGGTAACTTAAAAATAGGAAGCGTTAGGTCAACATGTTCCTTCACCTCAGCATCCCTACAATTGGAACCTGTTTTACAAAACCCTTCCCGACCTACTCCACGACGATATGTAAAAATACAATTTCACAGTCCAGCAATTATTTAAAAAAAAAAGATCTAAAACTTCCAATGAATCACTGTCTCCTGAACCTAGTTGTCGGATAAAAATTTTCATGACGTAATCCAGAATGCTAACTTATGCTCCACCTCTTTCCAATTGTGAACCTTGGTGACAAGAGGATGTTGATTAACAGACTCCATCTTCGACCAAGGATACGAATTCTCATAATCGAAAAGAAGAACCTTAATCCCTACTTCAGCACACTCAAATGCGTATCTTGGATTGTCGTCAATCAAAACCTTTGCTCCCAAGGACCTGCCAGAAACAAAGCAAAACCATCTCTCTCCCAATCAATATGCTGGCAGATCAATAAATAATGACTATTCTAGCATTATCACACTAGACTAGAGTATACGGCAATTTAATGACATCCCCGTCTTTATATGAGCATCAAGCATTTCGATATATCAAGGAAGGGTAAAACGTGAATTGCAATAACATGCTAATAAAACTATCAGAAGTAATATACTTGCAAATGTCTGATTTAGGTCGGGACTGTCCATCCAAGGCAAAATGATTGCCAAACTGGATCTCCTTAAACAACCCCGGATAATATCTCTCAATCCATTCAACTGTATGCTCCTTGATTGCATTCTGTCGGGACCTGTGCAGGATTAATAAATGACAATTGGTTTCAAAGATGAATTGAAAAAGGTCGAGCATTCAAGGGTTAAGGATACCTACGTAACAACTGACAGATCACAAAATTTGGACAACTGTTGAAGAGCTTTCTGGGAACCTGGAATTGGATGTATCCCTTTCTTAAAATAAGATGTCTTAAAGAATTCATGCACGCGTATGTCAGCTGTCAAAGAAAAATGACGATGTTCTTAGTCAGGCTGTCAAGTTAGAAACTCAGGCAGGCACGGTGGCTTGTTGAAAGCCAAAATGTAAGTATTTGCTACACAAAGATCTAAACATTTTCAACAAATTGCCAAACTGTCGAGCAATAATTTCTAAAGAAGGGTATATTATGTTATTAAGTAAGCAAAAGACTTGCACTTATGCAGTTAAGCAGCAAGGGAAATCATAGCAGCATCTCATACTAGCATCAACAGCAGTCATGGGTAATGATTCACACAAAACTTTTAGTAACCAAAATAATTCATATATGAAACCGGTAAAGAAGGGAGTGGGCATTGAAGCAGAAAGCATATATAGCACCTAATAAGTTCCAGGTAGTAGGACCAAAATACACATTGAAAAGGCGAGGTATTCCATATCACATTACCCTCCCAAAATTGGAAGAAAACCAAAACATTGTAGACAGCTAAAAGTGCATTCAGAAGTTCTGCATATCGAGGAAAATAAAATTTAAAGGCTTAATTGAATTACAATCAAGCCACATTATCTGAAGATTGCGAGAAAAGAGACAGCACGAAAAAATAATCAATTGAGTTATCAACTAGATGAATAAGCAAACAGTTCTATCACAAAGAAAACAAATCTTATTAGTTGTGTGTTTCAATCTAGTAAACACAAACTTTACAGATACCTTCATCCCGAGAACAGTTCCATATCTGCAAGATTAATAAAATAAAATATGATCAGGTATGCAAAGGTATGATTTATTTACGGCTATAAGAAAAAAATGAATAGAAATAAGTAATATACTACCATTCAAGCTCCATAACATATTTTAGCACCCAATTTACATCTTAAACAGTGGAATATATATAAGTATGAAATGCAGTTTCAACCCAATACAATATCCCAAGAGGTGAGCAGTTCCAGGGGCGGATCCCAATGAGGTGCCCACACTGAACTTCTGGGCCCAACCCCATGGCCGAGAATTTTTTTTTTTATTATTAATATGCCACTTCCAGCCTAAGAGTAAAACCAAAAACCATTGCCAATACACACTACCCTGATGTAAATGGCCCAAGACCACTATCCAGCCCAATCAATTTAGTTCAAAACATGAGACTCGTAGCCTCCATTTCAATTCATTCTCCTCCACCTCCACCCTCTGGCCTCTGCTTCGCCACCTTCGCTCCTGTATCCAGGTAATTGAAGTTTTCTCTTCTCGTTAAGTTCTCAATACACATCTCTAGGTATTATAAACATTTCTGGTGCTCGCCAATCACCACAAATATGTCTGCTATCCTAGTCATATGTCCTGCAGTGGGAGGTGTCGAGAAAGCAGTTGCCACAAATTTTGTAGTGCCACAAAGGTAAATAATAGATTGATTTCGGCGGTGACTGTTGTTATTGTACTCATTGTTTTTCTTCTACTACTACCAAGTTATATTGATATTATTATTATTTAAACTAATGCTGCTTGGTTTCAGGAGAAGCTTTTTTTATGAAATGGTAAATGTTAATTCATTAAAGCATGGTACAAATTGTCCCAAAAAAACTTGCGTTGGACAGTTCATATTAATTTGGCCTATGTTTGTGGTCTTTTTTCTTCTCTCTCTAGAATATT